GCTTCCTCAGTGTAACGATCTTATTTTTATTTTGGTCCCTTGTCACATGGGCTCCTCCACAGGGCTTTCCCAACATGGCAACTTGCCTCCCCAAAAGTTGGAGTGGGTGCTTAAGCTAGAAGTCATAGTCTCTTTGCAATCTAATCTTGGAAGTGATATCTTCCACGTCTGACATCTTCTGGTCCCTAGAAGAGAATCCATAAGTCACACTCCGGAGAAGGGTCCTCCACAGTGCGTGAATAAGGAGGTAGATGTCACTGGGGACCATCTTAGAAGCTGCTGACCACACTCAGATACCCTACTGCTCACTTCCTCACTTCCTTCTGGTTCCTGCTCAAATATCACCTCATCAGGGAGACTTTCACAAACCACTCTGTAAAATAGCACATGCTCCATCCTTTCATTATGCTTTTTCTTCATAGCAATTATTACAGCCTGGTATATAATATATGTTTCTGTTATCTCTTTCCTACTCCCCATAGTATGTAGGCCTCTGAGAGCAGAAACTTAGTTTTGTTCACCGCACTATCCTCAGGTCCTAAAACAGTGCTTGGCACATAATAGGCACGGTTTAAATATTTGTTGAATGAATGAACCTGTATCAGTAGGAACACTTTCACCTGCAAATAATTCAAAACCCAATTAACAGTTGATATACTATAAACAGTTCAAATCCCTTTAACAAGGATTACAATGAATCAAGGAACCAATGAGTCAGTAACATCAACAAGAATTTAGATTCTGTCCATCCATACCACAATCTTCGGATTCTTGGCTTTTTCTCATAGTCTTGTCACCTGATGGTCTCAAGGTGGCAACTGTGGCTTCAGGCATCAAATGTTCATTGGACCAGATTCAAAGGCAAGAATAAGGGGATAGCCAGGGCATAGAGAGAGGAATTTCTCTTCAAATGCCTCTCCTTGTAGCAGGAGAAAAAAACATTTCCTGGAAGTGCTTATATCTCATTGGTCAAAACTGAGTCACGTGTCTAACCTAGCTTCAGGGAGGTGCGAAAGTAAAAGTGCAAATGTTGGGAAAGACACAGTTGTTCATGAAGTTGAAAAATAATTCAGACTTCCATGAAGTTGACAAATGATAACCTAGCTAAATAAACAATGAGAGGAGAGAAATGCAACAAAGGTGATGACACAAATTAACACTTTAAAAGATAATGATTTGAAAAAGAATTGGGAGAGGACTTTGGGAAAATGAATAATACCATGAAATCCTTTTTGCAAAAATTACCTTTTTCAACAATATGCTACAGAAGTCAACTATGAAGCACAAGGTACTGTATTATCAAAATCACAATTTGGTGAAATAAACTTTTGATTCATTCTTGGCTTGTCCGTTGAATTAGTTCAGAGTTGTTGCATTTTTACTCTAAATTTTGTTAAGTACAAAAATCACTTTCCTCAGTTTTAATTACATTAATTCAAGCTACATTCCTAATCCAGCTTTTCCACTGCTTGTTATGAAATGTTTGTCCTTACTTTAGAGCCACTGTGTAGCTTTTCTCAGGCATGTGTTAGCCTTGATAACAATGGCCTCCTACACTTGGCATGTGAGAAAAACAGTTTGAAAGGTTGTTCCCTCGCCTATTTCAGCAGTTTAGGAAACAGTTATTTTTTCCCAAAGATAAAACAAGTGACACGGTACCTGTAAGGAAAATTTAATAATCAGCACCCAGGGCCGGCCGAGTGGTGCGATGGTTAAGAGCTGGCTTGGGATGCCAGAGGGCCCCGGTTCGGATCCCACATATGAGGGCCAGTGACACTGCCCTCTACAGCTAAGNCTCTCTCTCTCTCTCTCTCTCTCTCTCTCTCTCTCTGGCACACACCTTCTAAAAAACACAATAAATCTCAGCACAACTATTAGCTCACGTGTCTGCCATTCCTTCATCCTGGGCGCAACTTACACTAGCACTCTGACATATTCTACAGCATATAAAACAGCTCCTCCCACAAAACAGGCGATCGATCAAGATTTGCCGACAGTTACAACAGCCACCACCATTGCTAGACCCCCGACGAGGTGCCCCTAAAGCTGGTGCCCTGGCGCTCCATTCTCATCACCTCTAATCCTCATGGGCATTGACATGAGAAAAAGGGAACCTGAGGCCCAGGGGGTTTACTTAAAACGACCTGCCCAAGGCCCTGCTTTGAAAGGCAGTTCAAGCCATATTTACGTGGATCAAGAATGTGTGATCATTTCCCCAGACAGTTAGGGGCTGAAGGATGGACAGATGGGGTCTCGGAGAGGGAAGTAAACTGTCCCTCGTTGCCGTGGCGTAAAAAAACAAAAAACCAAAAAAACAAAACCCAGGACCGTAACCCTGGTGGACAAACCCGACCTCAGGAGACCAGCCGAGTGCCCGACAGGGAGGCGACACCTCCCGCCATTCACCCCATCGCCATCCCCCGCTTCTGCCTTACCTGGGTGCCCGACCCAGCTCCGCCTGGCTGCACCCCGATTTCCGACACCCGGGGTCCTGCTCTTGTCTTGAATTCCCTTCCCGGGAAGCTGACACTGAGAGCGCGGGCTCAGACGTCATCAGCCGTGGCCGGCGCGTGGTCACATGACGCCCCACCCCTGCTGAACGCCCCCTCTGGTCACGTGGCTGCCAGGGGAGCCGGGCGGAAGCCGGGGTCCTGCCTGCTGAGGATCCGCGGCTGGGATTAGCAGGGGGACCCCTGCGGAGAGGCAAAGTGTGGACCCCAGTGCCGACTCCGAGCGCATCGTCGGCCCCGCGCGTGCGCCCTGGCGCGGCCCGGATAACAGGTGAGTGGGGACGGAGTGCGCTCTTCCCCTTTTTACACGGCCCCCCGTCCCCCCTCCGCCGCGATGCTGGGCCGCGCTGGTCGAGGGGACATCAGTGGCTTGGGGTGGGGTCTGGGTGGAGGAGCCCGGCGTGGAGGACTGAGCGGCTTCCCAGGGCAGGGGCTGCAGTCCAGGCTCTTCATCTCCACTTAGATGGAAAATTTTCCGCGCCTCTTGGGCGCTTTAGGAAGTGATGTCCTGCTGCTTGGCCGGCATTTGGGCCTCCCCCAAGTTTCCGGGAGCACTGTTTTGTGGACATCGTTATTCCTTCGTTTACTCTCGAGAAAACTGAATGGTTAGCGAGCGCGTTTTACGGTCTGGCGGACCCCGGGTTGGATTCTA